AAAATAACCACAGCTGTGACTAGATACATTCTACCCTACGGACAGAGTGGTACCACAGCTGTGGAGCCCACATCAATGTTCTCTACATATATAAAACATAACATCACCATCATCATCAAAGTTTTGTCCTAACTATAAGGGATTGACTACATGAATCCTGTTTTCCATTCCATTCTGTTCAGTGCCATATCCATTGTTAAATTATGAGTGCTTAAATCATTTCTCACTACAACTCATGTCCCTTTGGTCGGCTCCTAGCGTTTTTAGCCCCTTCAATTTGCAATAAATATATTACATAACATAATAAATAATATATAATTTATGCATGTGATATTTCAGTTTGGGGTCTAACCCAATCTAGAAACCTGCTTGTCAATAGGCCTACCTATTAGGCATTTCCACCTACAAAGAGCTGAGGGACTAACAGTATTAACCTGTAAGAAAATGCCCAATGAACATTAGAATTCTCTGCTGGTATGAAAGCCTTCTACACCTTAACTCCCACAAATCAGCTTCCACTGTCACAGGTTATGTAGCTGATAATCAACCCTTTTCAGATAACCATTTGTTTCCCTCCAACAAGATCTCATTTATAACAGCCCAAGAATTCCAGCAGAGATACTGATCAAAAAACAGGATCCTAGCAGAGGCTTATGATTATATACCACAAAGTCAGAAAAAAAAAAGAAGAAGAAGAAGAAGAAGAAGAAACACCATCTTTATCTTTCTTTTTTCAGTTTGACAGGTCTGGATCAGTGAAAATAACAACTAGGATCTAGTAATGAACTGCATAAGCAAACATAAAATTAACAATTCAGATTTGGCAGATTAGGTTCACTTCTACTTTAAACTATCAGTTCAATAAAGAGAACAAATACCAACCTCATTTAATCTTAGATCACGACCATACCGTAACTGTGTGCTGGAATTAAAGATATGTTCCATGCCATCAGTTGTAGATCCATCTATGGAATCTGTATCTTCAATCTTAATGCCATCCAACCCCATTGTATCAGAAACTGAGGAAGGTATTGTCACTGGATGCAAATGTAGCATGTAAGGAGTAGATATAGAGATTAAATTTGAAGTTGTTTGGGATTCAATCCCCTTAGATTTGCTCAACTGTTCCAAACATGATAATGCCAAATCTTCTCGACCAATAAGAACATATGCAGCTGCAGGCCAATCTGTGGGAGGAGATTCTCTGCAGTTGTCCAATGCCTATATTTGGTGGAAGAAACACTGTTTTAATAACCAAATCATAGGATGCACCTAATGATAATGCTGTTGTTACCCATCTCATACACCCAAAAAATAAATCACCAATAATGGCATATCTAGTACACATATGATACCCAATACCTGTACATGCCCAGCAATAACAGTGTCAGATATTATGCACACCCAATCCCAATTATAGCACAAAACTTTTTTAAATCTGTAAAAGAAGTATTTTTTTTAATGATGATGTAAATCAGTTTACTTTAACAAAGAAAACTACTGAGAAATGACACAAACTTCAAAAACTGAATGGAAAAGCATAATGTAATTTATAAGCATTACAAATGGGATACCTCTAACAAGTACCAATATCTGTGTATAGGACCTTAGGAAATGGAGAAGCATATCCCTATTTTCTATAACCATGTCAGTGTTGGTGTCCATATCTGGGCATGATAGGTGCACATACACAAAGTATACAATGTTTCAACTTGTCCCTGAAACAGCCTAGAAAAAGATTGTTAAAGTATCTGATCCTCAACTTTTCAGCCTGCTAGATCTGGATGGGAAGAATTGAATGGTGGTAAAAAGTAAAATGTGCACTAGAATGCAACATGATATTGCTAAATTATACTAGGGGTAAACCAGAAAGCACATGGTGTTTCCTCACTTCTTGATATTGCTATATTATACTAGGGATCCTCAAAATGCTTTCTTACAAGCACTTCGATGTAGTGAGAAAATAACTTACATGTCGCAAAGGAAGAGATACACCAGCAGGCAGTAAATCTAATTGTTGGAGTCCAAACCCTTCTGCAACCATTGCTAAGACAGTAAGCTCTTCAGGAGAGCGGGATGATCCTGTGGCAATGTTACAATAGACACCTGAAGAAAGCTTCTTGCCTAGCCTTTCCGCACCTAATAATAGACTATAGAATGATATGATCTTTCGTGCCCAGCTCACCACATAACTTCCTTCTTTACAAATTAGAGATGGGAGGTCATTGATATTAGCCATATGACAACCATATCGCAAACATATATCCAGCCATTTAAATAAAGATGGTGGAGTTCTAGGAGAAGAACAGGTACTGCAGGTTCCAAAATTCTTTGAAAGATGGGGAAAATCCCGAAGGTAATAGTCAATATAGCTTTCCTCACCAAGAGAAGCAACAATATTACATAATAGAACCACCAGAAGTCCTAAGTCCCTGCAAGAAGGAATGAAGCAATATTGAGCTCATAATATGTCAAGCACCCAATGCAAATAAGCAAATTATGAGATATTATAGAAGAAAACAAGCAGCAATTGGTATTTCAATCAACAGAGAAGCAAATACATAAGAAGAGGTGCAATGACAAAATAGACAAGTTAATACTAAACAGTAGTACATGCCCCCAGAAACCATGCTGCAAGTAATGAGATACCATAAATTAATCATCAGAAACTAATCAAAAAAATAATTATGGAAGCATATTAACATTAAATAAAAATGTGCTTGAGCATTGAGAGAAGGTAAAGAAAGTAAAGAATATAAAGAAGGGGAAATTTTTAATAACTGAAATAAAAGCACAAAAAAGGTGACTCGTACAGGATAGCTATATACCTGTATGTAGAGAAAAGCTCAACAAAAGAAATCATTGCTACCCCTTATGCATACCATCTATTCATAGGCTAAATCCTCTGAAGAAAACCACTCTTTCGACTTACAGTTTGATATTATGATCAGGCCTAAAAGCAACAGCCGCCGGCGCCAGCAAGGTTGCAATTTCAGAGAAATTTCATTCATCCTTTAATCCACATAGAACAACAAGAAGAAGAGGGACAACAAGAGAGATTCAATGTGGTTCAGCTCATTAGTGAGCATCCAAGGGATGGAGCTGAAAACATGAACTATTTCAGAAAAGCGAAGATACAATGGAACTTTATATAGAATGGGATATGGCGCACCATCTTACAAACATTTGGTGGGTACTGAAATTAGTAAATGTTGTAAAAGAAAGGGAAAAATGAAGAGAATTATCTGGTGCATAGTCCAGCAAATCCTCTGTTCTGTTTCAGTCTTGAGATAGCTTTCTCTATCATTAGAATCCAAAAATGCCCCCTACCTATGCTACATCAGCAACATACATCTCTACATCACTCAAGCTCAAGTTGACCAATCTTGAGCTTACAAAGTAAAAGTTGAAACAAACAATGGGTACTGACTAACCAAAGATAGAGGAGCATGATCAATTTGATCAAGCCTACAACACAAACAAATGCACCAAGAGATGCCATGGATAGCCAGTCTTGCACTAAATGAACAACATGCCAAAGGCTAATGAAAAGGCCTTACCAATAGCAAATCATCATATGAAAATTGATGATACCATATGTAGAGGCATGGACTCAACTGAGGCAATGGTCAGACCTTTGAAGGTCTGAGAAAATGGTGTGGTGAGGAACTAGTGAGGAAAATGGAGAAAGGAGCAGAAGATGGCAGGACCCTTGGAGGGGCTGCACTATGTACTTTCTGGCAAAAGATCAAGCCACATGCCCACAGTAGTTAGTAGAGGAGAAGAGAGTTCGTGTACACCCTGTTGAGGTTCCTTTGTTATTTATTTTTATTTTCCTTTTCCTTTAAATGGGAGATTTTTTTTCTAGAAATTTCCAATAATTTGTCATGTCAGACAGGGGTGGGCAGTTGTTTGCCACTTGCACTTGTTTAACTTAAGGTCAGGATATGTTTGTTGTTTTGTGACCCTGGTCAGACCGGGCCAACTTGGTTTGGGTCCAAGTTGGGTTAACCGGATCTTTTCCCTTTTATATGCCTATGCCCATATACCAGAATCACCAGCTAGATCAGATCTAGAGATACCAAAGTAATCAGATCACAGGAAAGGCAGCAGAGGTTGTGTATCAAAACAAAAATTGTACCCTATAACCTATAACAAGGCCAATGAAAGTAACGAATAAAGGATAGACACTAAGGATGCCATTCCATGGAAAGAAAAAGCATCATATTTCAGAAAAATATGTAATATGAAAGCACAAATAGCTGATACAAAGTGCTTAGCAAACTATTTTATAACAATATCAATGAAATCTACACAAAATGACAAAAAAAACACATCATAGAAAGTACAAACAAAAAAGAATATGTTTTAACAAATTGAGGCACCAATTTTTTTCTCAGTAAAGGTAAACTATAGCATTGTATTGGTGATTCTACTGTGACCATATACAAGTATGGGTCATATATAGTGAGAACTTAGAAACTACACACAATCAACATATTCCCCAATGAAAGCTGACAGTGCTATGTTAAGTACAAGAGATAGTATTATAACAAAAGTTGGTGAGAACATTTTAGATATGTGGAGTAAGGGCAGCCCATTGAACAAGGTTCCCACCAATGTGGGATCTGGGGAGGGACAGACGCAGCCTTAGTGCCTTACCCCTGCAGACACAGAGAGGCTGTTTTCAAGATTTCAACCCTGATCACCTAGGTCGCAATGGAGCAACCCAACTGTTGCACCAAGGCCCACCCTCATTTTAGATACGGGTATTACCTTCAAAATAAATTATTTTTGATACATGGAGTAGCAGTTTTATTGCCCACCTAATGGACATGATTGCCACTTTGAGCTTGCTCAAAATTCTTTTCAAACATGAAGTTAAATCTTAATTTTTGTTGTATGATAAATTATTTGGTTCATCTATTAGAACCATTTGCACTTTCTATGAGTTTAAATTTTACTTGAATTCACTCTGCCATGCAGTTTTGATAATTTGGAACAAGATAAATAATTTAAAAGGGCCTACCTATGCATCTTTTATCATTGCATAAAATAGCAGTCTGTAGTGTATTTCACAATTGTTCCATCAGGTTTATAATTTCACAATATTTACATATGATGTTTCCAATATTTGGATGACCAATATTTCCACTGACACCAACATTTTAAACCTTGGCTATGATCAAAACAACCACGACGTGGAATCTCGTAGAACTTTTTATGGGCTGCCAAACAAGAGCGGAGGGTAGTAAAAGCACAAGGTTTCCAAGGCACCAAAATCAACCTAGGTAATGGATTTTTTCAATAATAAATTATAAATCCTAGGGCAGTTCCCTAGGATCTATGTAATTACCAGTAATCTTTGACTAATAATTACCATAATCTTCATGAAATTAGTATATACCTTATAGAAAAATAGAAAATCAACATATTTATAAGAAGAAAAAGAAGAAAAGAAAATATAGAAAACTAGGGGCTAAACATTGTTTTTGTCCTAGGAGGAGGAACAATGATAATGATAATAATAATATTAATTATTATTATTATTATTATTATTATTATTATTAACATAATAATGATAAATCTTAGTTGCACTTGTGTGCTGATTGGATAAATTCTTCAAGTTCTTTACTTATCAGTTCAGGTTTTCAAATCTTAAAGCATTCTAGACTACATCACCAACTTGTATGTCAATTGAACCTGAACAAATAAGAAATAAGAAAATAGAAAAAAGTGACTAGTATAAGAATTATAAAAATATGTAGGCCCTTGGGCAAGGCAACCCTCCAAGGGTGCCATGTCTCCTAGGTGTCACCATGACAACTATGCTGCAGCCCACTGAATCACTCCATCTTGTCACATCATCTTGTTTTCAAATATTCTTCAATTTATTTCCTTCCAGAACACCCACAATTACCACTAAGGATATTGAATGCCAAAGAACCTTTACTTTCAACTATAATTAGGATAAACTTTGGAAAGAACTAGTATATTTTTAACATCTAGAGTAAATAGGTATTTTAATTTGCATTTTCACTTTTAAGATTAGCTTTTCAAAATATCTAACGAAACATGCTTTTGGGCTTTTTGCTCCTGAAAGTAAGAATTGCCTCAAAAGGCATACATAATAATTAAAAAAAAAAAACTCAAAGTTTTCTTCTTCTAACAATAAGGCCCAGGTCCACCCTCTTTCCTTTTGTTAAGAAACTAAATTCTACCTATTTTGAAATCCTCATGAAACAGAGATCAGTATATTATGGTTTCCACAGAAGTATTTATCTTTAATGGTAGAATAAAAATAATACATTTCAACACAAGTTTGACAAGTAACATGAGAGTGCAAGAGAGGTGTCATGAATCAATGAAAACAAGATTTCAACACAGTGAACAGGAGCTCACCGTTTACGAAGATTATCAAGTTTCAAACATTCATATAGAGCATGCAAGGAATCCAAAGTGTCCATCAAAAATTGAACATTGTATGACATCTCTGAGCTCTGTCTGCCTCCGAAATATCTAGTGGAGTGTTCAAAATCACAAAAGTCAAGAGACGTTTTAAAAGGAATCCCAGTAATGGATGTAGATTTCATGTAACTTTCATGAAATTTGCTGTTAATAAGAAACTCCCATGATGAATAAGGTGGTGAATCTAAGCACTTTGTAGGAGTAACTCTAGGATTTGTACACATTTGCATTATAATACCACAAAAGGACTCCCATTCTGAGTCAACAGAAGCATCAGCCTCAGACAAGTAGGAAGAGTCACCACTTCCCCAGAGAAGACCAAGAAAATGATTATAAAAATTGGGCTGGAGTCCCTCAGCCATTGCTGTAATACAGTCATTTGCTAAAGACGAAGAGGGGCTTCTTCGTAATGCACATCTAAACATCTGCAGGAATAACAAAAAAACTTGTAATGATCACATTAATAAATAGTGAGAACATTATAAAAGATAAATTGACATAATATATCAAATCCTGGAGACAGAAGATGCAAACTACAATCATAAATCTCAATAGTGGGTCCTGATCAGTACTATTTGGAATAGCTACTGCCCATGTCCTTGACTGATCAAATGACTTTTTCTGTTTGTTTATTGGATAAATGATAAGACAAACGACTTTCCAAGGTGATGCTAGAGTTGCTCAAGAAGATAACCCCGCATCCCAACCATTAGTCCTCAAGTCATGTAGGCTACCCAGTACCCATCACCTTGTGCCAAAGTCTCTTTCGATAGGCTACTTCCCTGACAAAGTTGTATTCTTCTTCCCAACATCACTCATTCCCAAATCCCAACCCTCCCGACTCCCTCTCCTACAAACTACCTCCCACTTCACCAAATGATCCCCCTTCCTTTCTCTCGATTCCCAAAAGAAATCCCTCGAGTTTTTCAATCTTATTCACCTCGTTTTTTTGATAAATAACACAAACTTTTATTAATAAAGAGATTAAAAAGGAGGATACAACAGGAGGGAGGGGTAAAATCTCTTAACCCTCCCTGAAAGTTTACTTCATATTGCAAAGCTGCCCAGAAAAGAATAGCTCTTCCCACCCCTTGCTTAGCCAAAGAGTCTGCCAAGGAATTGGCACACCTTTTAGTCCACTAAAACTGAACTTCCATGTTTTGAGTCAGATGTTTAATTTTCTTTTTCTCATTCAAGTATTTCCACAAACTGAAATCTTCCTTCTGCAGCCACTTAATAACCAGCCTAGAGTCACCTTCTACCACCAGTTTTCTGATATTCAAACATTGTGCTCTTTTAATCCCTTCCAAGACTGCCATTATTTCAGCCCTCAGAGAATCCCCCATCCAATAGGCCATGAATACATGGCAATAATTTGACCTTCATCTCTGAAAGCTCCACCTATACCTGAAGGACTTGGGTTTCCTTCGCTGCTTCCATCAAAGTTCAATTTAGTGTAATCCAAGGGTGGAGGAGCCCAAACTGGAGAAGGGGTAGTTTTCAAGGGAGTTAACCAAGCCACTTCTTTCCAGTTCTTAATGATATCTCCTGCTGTGTAACCTTCAAAAAGCTTCAAGGTCTTAACACAATGAGACCCCCTAATAGAAATCACTTCAATGATGGCTTCCGTGTTTCTTTCTTTTTCAAGGAAGATTCTTTGATTTCTTTCCTCCCACACTGTCCAACAAATTGCTGCTCTTACACATCTCCACAGAAATTTACCTCTCTTTTTTAACCCTCACTAACGTAATGTTAAACAAGATCTGCACACTTGGAGGAGAGGACCACCTGCAACCAAAGCGAGAAAAAAACCAGCACCAAATTTCAGATACAAAAGGATAGGAAACCATTAAGTGATACCAGCTCTCACCATTCTCCTTACATAGGATGCACCAGTGCAGGGACAAACACCAATTTGGCCTTTTCCTTTGAAGTAAGTCGCAACTGTTAAACTTTTCTAGGAATGCTTCCCAGCAGAAAGCACCCACTCTGGGAGGAATTGGTCTACCCCAAATTTCCAAGAGTGGGAAAGGGTGTCCAAAAGCCGGTTGGGATTGGGTTAACTCTTTGAAAAACGAAGAGCAAGTAAAGATGCCCGAGGGGGAAGGAACGCAAATCCTACTATCCCTTCTAGAGGGATCAATAACAACAAGTTAGTGAGAGTGGACCTAATCAGCATAATTCTACCACCCAAGATATGACCCTCTGCATTTCGAAAAACTCCTCCAATTCCAAAAGGCCTAGGATTACCGAGACTGCTACCATCGAAGCTTAGCTTGATAAAACCTTCTTCAAGGGGATACCAAGCTATTAGAGGCTTGTCTTTAACCAAAGAAGATTTTGCAACAAATTCCTAATTTCTCCAAAGGTCGACAAAGGAGAATTGTAAGAAAAGATCCAAATCTTTAGCCCAATTGATAGCCCTGTTCATAATGCAATCCCAAGTGGTAGCCTCATCCCTCTCTTTATCATTAAAGATCCTAGCATTTCTTTCCTCCTAGATTACCCAAACCAAAGCAGCCCTAGCACACCTCCACAACACTGTCCTTCCTAGAGTCCTACAACAAAAGAGCAGGAGATTAGTAGATGATAACAGTTGTCTCCATGATCTTTGCAAAAGGAAACATCAGTTTAGTGAGATACTAAGATTAGGACTTCTCTTTTGCAGGTTATCTTAAGTGTTTAATTTCCCAAGAGAGACTTCCCAACAAAGGGTTCCCACTTTAGGGGGAATGGGTTTGGACCAAACTTCCTTGCAAAAGAAAGGATGAGGGTTAGGGACAAAGCACAACCAAGAGAAAAAAGAAGCATAGGAAAACAAACCCAAAGGGTTAGGATTCCAAATACAAGCATCAAGTTTAGACTGATCCAAATAAACAGGGCCAAGAGTTTTGAGAAGCACAACAGCCTGGTCAAGCTATGAGCCACTCAGATCTCTTCTAAAACCCAAATTCCAACTGAAACCAGAAGACTAGGTGAAGGGAAAAAAAACCTTTGACTGGGTTCATTTTTAAAGAGGGACAGGGAATACAAGGAGGGAAAAAGGTCCTTGATAGTGGAATTACCAATCCATATGTCCTCCCTAAAAGAACCCTATCTCTTGTAAATATATCACACTTGATAAGGCTTAGGAATTAGGGAAGAATGTCATTAATAGCCTTCCATGGAGAGCTCAAAGCAACCCGCATCCCAACTATTACCTGTGCACCCATTAATACTTCCTACTACCATATGCCAAAGTCTCTCACTCTCTAAAGGCCATCTCCACAACCATTTACCCAACAAACCTACATTCTTCTTCCCTAAATTGCCTAAGCCCAAACCCCCTTTCTCCTTACTTGTGTACACTAATTCCTATCTCACCAAGTGATGCTTTCTTCCTTCACCAGGTTCCCATAAGAAATCCCTCATATCTTCTCTACTTTCAACACCTCCCTTTGTGGTGACATCTTAAAGACTGAGGGAAAGTAAACCAGGTTTGCTAAGGTAGACTTTATCAAAGTACTTTTGATCCCTAAGAGACAACTAATTTCTCTTCCAAGCTGACAATTGCTTAACACAATTTTCAATAATTGGACTCCAAAAGCTTCCTTCTCGTGGGTTAGCTCTCTAAGGGCATACCTAGATATTTCAACAGCCAACTAGCAATAGGACACCCTAAGACCTCCACTACTCCAACCAGCTCCTCTCCCAGATTCAACCCCACCGTGCAACTCTTTTCAAAATTAATCTTCAAATTAGAGATAAATTCAAACAATTTTATCACCTGCTTCAATTTCCTTGGCTTCTGAGAATCACCACTCTCACAAAAATGATTTTATCATTAGCAAACTACAAGTGTATTCAACCATGCTCTCACTCCCTACCCTCCAACCTCTAAAGAGATCCAAACTATCAGCTCTCAATATAAGCATGTTAAACACCTCAACTACCAAGGCAAATAAGAAAGGATAGAGGGGATCCCCTTGCCTCAATCCTCTGGTGGTTGGAAAGAAATCTCTAACCACTCCATTAACTATAACCGAATAATGACAAGTTTTCAAACACCCTTCAATTCGGGCACACCACCTCTCTCCAAAACCCCAGTTTCTCAACAAACCCAGCAGAAAAGACCACTCAACCATGTCGTAGGCTTTCTCCAAGTCCAATTTACACACAAAACCTTTCTCTCCCCTTCTTTTGAAATTTTCCACACACTCATTAGCTATCAAAATTTGATCTGTAATATGTCCTTGAATAAACGCCCCTTGGGAATGGCTTATCAGGTCGGGAAAGACCATTTCTAACCTTTGGGACAATACTTTGGCCAATATCTTATAAATRATGGTCACTAGGCTGATGGATCTAAAATCTCTCAGTTGAATTGCATCTCCCTTCTTAGGAATCAAGGCTAAAAAAAGTATAACTAATTCCCAGACTAATAAAATGCTCCTCAACAAATTCTTCAAAGACTAGAATTAGATTACACATGCATTAAATACATTCACAACATTACAAAGGCCAGCAAGTTGACTAACAGCCAATAACTCCCACTCTAGACAAACATCATACATTTGGAGAGTAAATGGCCTAGAAAGGACTCATCCGAGTACATTATAAATGAAGTACTACTAAAACAATGAAATCGAGCAATGAAATACATACCTGCCCATTATTAACAACTACATTAATTCTTCCATCAACAGCATCAGTTAACCCCGTAATCTTTAAGTCATGGGAAACAGATGCTGATTCTGTAGACTCCACATGATGTGATATGAGGCCTTTAAATAACCGAGATGGCAATAAATACCTACATAGGCATTGCTTTCCTGACTGAAATTATAATGCAATATGTATTACAATCCTCATATAACCAACAACAATTTGTCAAATCATTATAGAAAACGATCAGAAGAAGGAAGGATACTTGAATGCATGCAATCCATGGCCACAAGTTTCCAACAATCAAAGTAAATGATAATTGTCCATAGTAAGCAATTTAAAATAGCAAACCATAACCAACAAATTACCAAGAGAACCAAAGTTTCAACTAGCAGGTTTCATTCATATTGAAGCAAAAAAGATTATTTTTAAGGTTTCACAATCAAGGGTATTTTGGCCATTTTGTTCAATGCCACAAAACTACATATAGTGAAAAGAACTGCAACTTAAAAGTTTTCTCCTTTCCTTAAAACAGGATGCTTTTTCTCTTCTCTTCTTCTCTTCTTCTCTTCTCTTCTATTCAAACCAAATCTAATCAGGTTTTACACACAGGTTGGTATCAATGTTTCCAACTTGCAATTAAACCAGCCAGTCAACCCATCACCTGGCCAAGTTACCAGGACAGTTTAGCCTCCAAGCCTCCAAACTGTTTCATCATTATCGTCGTCGTCGTCATCTAAGCCTTGTCCCAACTACATGGGGTCAGATACATGAATCCAATTTTGCCACTCCATTCTGTTTAGTGCAGCCCCCAAACTGTTTACTTGCAAAAATATTTGATTAACCATTTGAACCAGACAACAGTCACATGTTAGAACCTTTTTTTTGCATTTCTAGCCAATGCCATCATTAATAATAAATAAATCTTATCTATCACACTTATTTTTGTTTAATGTTATGAATACATAATATTAGAGACACGCCCAATTTTCAGCAAATCTGCTGTGTTTTTTTCTGCATTTTATATATTTTTATATTTTTATTATTTGATTTATGGCATAACCAAGGTTTTAAATATTAACATGAATACATGATATGCCCGACAATGGGGCATATCATATTGGTATCAGGTTGCACCAATATGAGATATGCTATAACTTAGTGTGTATTCACTAAGTCATGTGTATCAAACCAATATGGATACATATCGGCCAATACACACAAAAATGAATGGCATCTCTATTAAAAAAACGCAATTGGTGTGATTTAAACCCAAGTCACCCAAGACCCAAGCCTTAAATGCATCCTTAAACCACTTTGCCACCTTTCATCTTATGACAATAAATGAAATAAAATAACAATTATTAATTTTAATGTTCACATGTAGTCCAAACAAATAAAATATGTTTCAACAACTCCGACAACTAAAGATTAAAAAGAATAAAATTAATAATAGAATAATCACTTCGATACTTAAAATTTATAAACTAATTGAATAAATAATCTATTAAATCCACATTTATATCCAAAAGTGATTTCTAATCTAATGAAATTTATACAAATAAAAATATTAATAATAGAATAATACTTTAGTATTTAAAATTTATAAATTTGCACATAATATGTATCTTAAAATTTTTATAAATTATTAAGCAATATATTAATTTGCATTAAATAAAAACAATATATTTATTATTTACAAATTTTATGATCTATATGCATCCCGCTATATTAATTGTAACGTATTTCTTCATATATACCATTAAAATGTATATTTTTTATGTATTTAAGTACATAAATACATAAGAAAAACATTCATGTATGGAGATCTGCACTTAGGAAAAAGCAGTCAWMCAACCCTTAGGAAAAAACAGTCAATGTACTTATGTTTCCAGGTTAGTATTTAAAACATTGGTTGGTATAAGAGCAAGATCTTCCCTATGTTTACTCTCTTTCCGAGTTAAAGGCTATATGGGTTTTTGATGATATTATCAACAGCCTGTATGGAGATCTACACAGAACTATCACTAGATCTTGGTTTACCAATTTTTTAGATATTTTTGAAGAATTTCAAATTTGTTAGACCCCAAGGAGTGCTAGAGTTTTCATCCTAAAAATGAAGGAAAATCAGAGATTGACTAGATCTTGGTAAACATGGACAGTTTATTTTTTTTCTTTTGCTTCTTTCTATGCTCACTCAACAAACACAGTGGCAGAATGCAGAGCAATCCGGGATTCTATTTATTATGCCGAGGCCTTAGGAATCCTGAGACTTGTGGTAGAAAGTGATTCCTTGATGATGATTCAGGTCCTTGTGGGTAATTCAGATCCTCCCTGGAATATTCTCTCTTGGCTAGATGACATAGCAGATTTGACCGAGGGCATTGAGGTACACTATACTCACATTTATCGAGAGGGTAATACGGTGGCAGATGGTTTGGCTAACCTAGCTTGTGACAGCTTGGGGAACCTTCTCTTCGATTCCAGGAATACTCTCCCACGGCACATCCAGTTTTTAATTATTGACAATTCTTTGTTTCTTCCTAGAATTCATTGTAAATAGTGTTTGGGGCTGGGCTTTTGTTTATATTTTGAGAGCTTTGTGCATTGTTCTTGGGTCTAAGGCAAGGCGGGCTATGTCCTACCCTGTATCTTTAATTTTATTGATATTCTAATGAAATCCTAAGGTGCCCCCCCTCCACCTGGAGTAAACTTTGGGGTTAAAAAAACTAGTTTAATTGGTTGTGGCTATTAGCAACGAGTGATTTAAAAGGCATGCCTAGGTGCACAGGCGAGGCACATTTTAGGGTATGCGCCTTGCCTAGGTCCTAGGCGCARCCCTTTCAAAAGGCGCACGCCTGGTACGCCTAGGCGTGTGCCTGATGCACTTTGTGCCTCAGCACAGGTATGCGCCTTTAGAAAATTCCACACTTTTTTGCTTCTTTTTTAACCAAGCAACTGGGCCGAGGGCTCTGCCCCCGGACCCCCATATCACACCCCTCAAGACAACCCCAAACAAGCCCACGTTAGGGTCTTAAATTCTTACTTCTCACTCCGAAAACCCCCTATTTGCTAATGTTGTTCATTCATCCATCCTAATAAAATATCTTATTAAAAAGCAAGTAAAATTATAAAATCATTATTTTTGTATGAGAACCAAGAATTTAAGACCCTAATACGGACTTGTTTGGGCTTGCCTCGAGGGGTGTGGCACAAAGGCGGCTCGTAGAATCAGGAAACTGTAGGTTTTACATGCTTGAAAATGTTTTGTATGTTTGATTTTATTTCTAAATTTTCATTTGAATACGCTTTAGAGGTTATGTTTATGTATTTTAATTTTAGATAATAAGTTTATATTTTTATTAATATTATGTTTAATATTTTTTTGTTTTTTTTTTAATTTTCTGACATTTTTTTATTTTTTAGCTTTTTTTTGTACTTTTGCACCTTGCTTCAAAAAGACACGTGCCTTGTCTTGCACCTCTGGCGCAAATTGGCCCCTGCACCTTGCACTCTTAAAACACTGCAACCAAGTTACTGCTAAAGTATTGTTTAATCCTCTGCAAATTTATCAAGCTGTAAAAAGTAACAAAACAAGATTTTGTCATTCTGTGAAAAAGAGAGCAAGAGTCTATGTCTTCTCCCTCTCTATTTTAATGTCAATCCACCTTGGAGAGTTGGATCTAGTCTGCTAGTTATTGTTTTAGTAGTAATAACTCTGTTACTGAGCCTTTGTATAGAAAATGGCATCTTCTAATACTAAAACTCCAAACAGACCATGGATCCCAGAATCATCTCAGTAAGTGTCAAAGAGAATCAGAATGTCTAAAATAACAACTACAAGATAGATGGGAATAACTGTTTGGAGTAGCCATAGTATGCCCGCATGTATATTGGGGATCATGGAAAGATTGTTTATATTACCAGATCAAAAAAAAGCAACCAGATTCAGAAAATATGCTCAAGGGGAGAAGAAAAACCTTATCATGATTTCATGCTTGGTAGGTTCAATGCAACCTCACAACAGTAGGAACTACCAATAGATTAAAACCACTAAAGAGATCTAGGATAGTGTACTCAGCATGTAAGTGGCACAAACCTGTCAGTTGTGTACAGAAGTGACAATATTAAACAAGGGAGGAAATTATTATTTTATTTATTGGAAACGGTAACTTCATTAAAAAAATTAGGAAGTATCAAGTACAACCGTCAGCCCCAGAATAGGTGTTAATCCCAAAAGACCTTTTTTTTTTTACAATTCTGCCCAGAATAGCCTTTCCCTCAATATCCTCTGTTTAGCTAAAGTATCAGCAAGACCATTGGCTGATTTTATAGTCCATTTGAAAGAAGCCACAACCTCCTTTGTTATGTTGGTAATCTCCCTTTATAGCATGTCTATAAATCCAAGCTCCCAAGCTGCCCGACTTCAACCAAACAATGAGCATTCTAGAGTCTCCTACCTCTATTTACTTTTCTACATTCGAATCACTCTAAGAAGAGATAGTCCATCTTGACATAATGGAATGGGAATGTTCAAAGATGTTGAAATCCACCAAACAACTTCACTAGATAGCACACCTGAATCATGATATGGTAACTTTGTCTCAAGCATATAACTTAGTGCAAGTTGAGGAGACCTGTTGTTTGATCATTCTCCACAAACTTTCATATAACAATTATTTCATATGTTACACAACAGATATTTTCATATTTTCAATAATTGTTAGTGCAAGTAGGGTTTCAATAATTGTTATAAGCTATTGGAGAGAGATTTTCATTGAAACAGTTAAAATTTGGAAATTTTAAACACAAAAACTAAAGATATCCATGGCAATCATAACTTACATAAAGAACAAGACTGTTTTCTGAATTCAAGACAATGATGTCCGCAAATGGTAATGGTCCAATTTTCACTCTGCATAGAACACGAAATAATGACATGTTCAAATGACAGGTTAACAATTTAATGGAGTGGAATGGAAAACCAAAATAATGTAATTCTACCTTGGACGTGTCACAATCACAGGAGCAGCAGCTATTGCTGGAATGCTCCAGCTTGTATCAGGTTTAATATCAAACAGAACCTCGTTACTTATATCCACAGTCTGAAGCCTTACAGAAAGTAGTCCTTTTTGTTCTTGGAGGAGAAAACATATTACAGGCACTCCATCATCATCAGTTGCTAAAAATACCTGGCAAAGGGCAGTAGAATGAAAACTGGATTTCAACAATACCAGAGAACTAGTGAAACACAACCTTTTTTTGATAATTGAAATAATTTTATTCATCACAAAGGATAAGAAAGTACAAGCTTCCTAGGGAGAGGCACGAGATGCAGCCTCTCCTTTTTTTTGGTTGGACAATACGACCTTCCATACTAGTCAAATACAGCTTTCCTATTCTCTAGAACAAGTTACAAGGTAGCACAAAAAAGATCTTCCCTGGAAACCCCAAGTTTGGCCAAAGAAGCAGCCATAGTATTTGCCGACCTGCTCACCCATTTAACATCCACTCTCATATTATTGGTTAGCCAGTTCACTTTTTTGAGGAGGTCTCTGTATTCCCAAATGACAGCATCAGGGTTAGAGAGCCAGCCTATTACTACCACCTGAGAATCCCCCTCTATCAGCAGATGTTCCACCCCAAGCTGGCTGGCAATTTGGATCCCTTGTACAGCAGCTAGTACTTCTGCCCTTGTAGAATCTCCCACTCCCACTGGTCCTGAGAAGAAGGAAATAATGTTGCTGTCCTTATTCCTCAGCACACCCCCTATACCTGAGGGCCCAGCCCCAGGGTTACCTTGGCTGCTTCCATCAAAGTTAACCGTTATTGACACCTTCCAGAGGAGGTTGCCATTCTATCACAATTCTATTGTTAACCGTTATTGAGCACCTATGAAGGATGTCCTTTTGAAGGCCAGTTTTGTCATTTGAAATTAGTGACCTTAATGACCTTCAAACAGAAAGCATTTTGGATTATTATTTTCCAAAATAACACGTGCAAAATAATGAAGTTCCTGCTGACTATTTAAATAATATTCTCAATTCCACTACAAAAATGATTTTAGTAGAGAAAGTGGCATATGTTGCATCAATCTCTTAAGATATCATTTCTTTGTTTTTTATCATTAACAATGATCAATAAAAAAACTATTAATATGCATATATACTTCTTTTTTTATCAATGTGCATGCATACTTCTTGTTAAGACAGTATTTTTAAACATGTACACATACTTCAACAAGGTTCAAGTACCATATGATACACAGATCATGTTACCATACCCATATAATTTAGTTCCCTTAGAAAGTAAGCAATTGATGCATGGTACTTTAAAATTTATCTTCAGAAAAAACAGAAGCTAACAGAAAAGTCTGGGTTAAAAAGTGGAGTTGATAGTAAGAAGAATAAAGGAACAAAAATATTTTAAAGTTGTAAAAGTTCAAACCAGAAAAAAAAAAGAAAAACATTAAATTCCCCACAAAACGTCTACATTTTTTTATACATAACTGATTAGGTTTTTTAATAAAAGAATGAAACCCAACTGCATTCAGTTTCAACAATTAAGAAGATATGAAATTAAGAGTCTGGATGTGATTCATTCTAAGGGCAGCTCACAACTATAGTTAGTACTAAATTTCTTGATTAAAGATCCTTTGCAGCCTTCACAGCATGTACTAAAGATGAAATGACTATAAGATGAAAAATGTACTATTAATTTTCATAATAAGGAATTCATTTAGGGAGTTGCGGGAAGAACCACCAAAATACATAAGCAAATTGGCTTATGTGTTTTGTAGCATTCAGTTAGTACCAGTGTTTAGAAACCAGGACCTTGGCCAGTTCAGTCTTTCCCCAATAACCGCTTTTACTAAAAACCCAATAAAAACCAGCTGACCGTCCGGTTTAGCCGGAAAACCAATGAACCGGTCCCAGTTTCATGAAACCACCCAATTCTTCAACCAATTGAAATTTTAATAAGATTTGAACCCATGACCTCTTATTTTCATATATTGCTTAATTACCATTAGTCCACCTCTTAACTTGTGTTAATTAATGACTATTTATTGTACATATTACTTTATCACGCATGTATTTTAAAGAAAATGTAAATTAAGATATTTGAACCCTAGTTATTTGCTTTAAAAAGTAAAGAACTTGCCATCCATACACCATATTTAAGTATATTAAAAGTTGTAAAATATATTATATATAGTATATATATGACCTGTAATATATACATATATATATATGTCACATCATCACGGTTTGACCCCAGTTGAACCTCTGACTCTCCGGTTCTAAGCCCGGTCCAGTTCTCTAAGCATTGGTTAGTACTAAATTTCTTCTATCCACAACATTTTCATTGCTTTTGTTAGATATAAGGTGGGAAACTGAAACAAGATAAAATTTTGGGCACATCTTTGGTGGGGTGAGAGTAGCCTAGCTAACACTTACCCTAGAATTTTCAACCTTTCCCAAACCCAAGAAGCCATGGTTTCCTCATGTCTTCTTTCTTCTCCCACGGAAACCAATTGGAACCTAAACCTCATAAGGCCCTTGAGAGAGGTAGAGATTGCTGAAATTGCAATCCTGTTAAACTCCCTTAGATGGGCCTACATCTCACCTGCTACCCCTGACTGATAGATCTAGAAACCTAGCCCAAGTTCTCAACTAAATCCTTTTTCAAGGCCCTAGTGTTGGATGATCAGGGGTCAACTTCCCGCTTAAGAAGGTTTGGTTTTCACACATCCTTCTTAGAGTCTCCTTTTTTGTGTCGGAGTGTCTAAAGAAAATAAACACTTGTGACCTGCTTCACAAGAAGAACAAAGGCAGATTGTGTATTTCCCCTCATGTTTGCACTCCTTGCCACAGTAATGGTGAGACGGTTGAGCACCTCCTTTTACGTTGTTCTGTAACTAGGAAGATTTGGTGTTATTTCCTCAACTTAGTTAGGTATAGCAGGGTATTTCCTGAGCAAGTTGTGGAGTTTCTACAACAATGGCAAGGCAGAGACTTAGGAAGAAGAGGGCTCATGCAGTATTGCGGGGCGTGTGGGAAGAAAGAAACAATAGGATTGATCAAAAAAAGAAAGAAACAATAGGATTTATGAAAATAAAACCAGGAACATTGAAGGCACGATCTCCTTCATTACCTTCTTATGCAATTTTTGGGCAGTTAATTCTGGAGAATTCAACACTATCTCCTTGAATGATCATCAAAGAAATGTAGTAGAAGTCCTCTACTCTTCCCCAAGGTGTGTTCTTAGCCACAAACATTATTCAAGGGAGGAGGGAGTGATGAGTCTAAACATTGATGGGAGTGCCCAAGGGACTACTGGTGCAGTGGGAATTGGTGGTGTAATCCAGGGGAGAGAGGGGAGTATCTGTTGAGCTTTCAGTGGTCCGATAGGGAATGCTGATTCTACAAAGGCTGAGATCTTGGCTGCACTCACAGGGTTTGTTTTGCTAAAATGTTAGCTCTGTCCTCCCTAACCATTGAAGGAAATTCTACCGATACTTTAAAATGGCTAGGGGAAAAAGATGGTTGGCCTTGGAGGTTGGCAATTGGCTCACTTTCTGGATGAGGCTAGAGATATCATGAACTCAATGACTGTGAAGCCAACTTGGATTCCCAAGGAACTAAATACTGTAGCCGACAGCCTAGATAAATCTGGCATTCACAGAGAATGTATGTTTAGTGATAGAACTTTGCCTATGTAATTTTGTCTCTGCCTTCTCTGACTCTTGATGTACATCTTCTCATGTACCACTTTTATGAATAAATCCTCGGTTACTTTTACTCAAAAAAAAATAAAAAAAATAAAAAACATAAGCAAATTAGCACCTTACTAGCAGCAGATTGGGCGCCTTTACCCTGCCATATCCTCCTGAAGGAGAACTGTTTTGATAACACCCCAGCAGGAACAACATCAAACAAACCATTGTTGGCAGATTCAAGGTTTGAATTAGCAATTTCAACTAACCACACGGAATGTTGCATCTTTCCTGCCAAGGAAATAATATGATGTTCATGTTACTGAAAAATGGAAAATAACCTAGTTTTTACTAAAACTGCAAAACAGAATGACGAAACCTTTGTTATATGATGCCATTAGAGGAATAACATCACTTGTCCAAATTGTCTTTTCATCAAAATCCTTCATGACAGTCAGTTTGCCCCTTTCTTCTGCAAGTGTTGCCTGTGTCATTGACATGTCAAACTACCATTTCATGTAAATCAGTTGTGACAAATATAGACATATAAAACCTCATCCTGTGAAGACATCAGAAAATACACAGTACACTAAAGTACCATACCAAGTTCAAAATTGTAACAGAAGCATAATGCACTTCAACAAGGATAAGGCAATAAGCAACCTCTAAAAAAAGACTCATGATCATAATCTTCCAAGTTGAATTCTTACACCTTTTTTTGTAACAGTAATGACAACTTTTGGATAATTGTAACGATAACTTTATTTGTATATAAAAGAACAATGATACCATCATAGGCCATGTCCATCAAGGAGATCTTAAATGACAACAGGACAAAACATAAGCATGGGCTTTCCAGCAAAGACAGTGGATAATGAAGGTGCTACATCTTGTCCTTTTGTGATTAATGAGCTCCATGACAACAAAGCTATATATCCATAGAAAGTACAGAAAAGAAAAAGAAGATGATGATGACAACAAAGAAGAAGAGGAGGAGGAGGAACAAGAACAAAAATGTAAGCCTCCATTAGTATCTCACAAGATCCTACCACTTTACATTAAAGCTTTTCTTGCTCATTTCTTTGAAATCCTTACGCACTAAAGCCCAACCCATGATAAATGAGTTGATGTTTTTTGCTTCTTGCATATTCCATGGGGTGGTTTTCATTTGTTTTCAAGACCACTCTTAAACAAGATTATAAAATTTGCCAAAACTATGACAATAAATAACCTAAGCATGTACTGCTTATACCATAGTAAGCAAACTCCACAACACATAGCACATATAAAAAAGGAAAATAACCAAATCAATGCAAGGGACATAAATCAGAACAAAGATAGTCACCTGGGGTTCTTCCAGTGGATCTCTCAAAATCAGGTGTGATGATATGGAAGACATATCCCCCTTGCTAATATGATCAAATGAACCAAGTAAGTTGATAGTATGTTGAGGACTGTAGCCAAATTCTCTTTTTGGGCGAGAAAAATCACGTGCATGCAGCAGCAGGCTTGAGGATTGAAAAGGCGGAAAGAGTGGACAGTTCCCATCAGTTGACTTTTGGAGGAGCAAACCAAAGGGAAGAGGCCAGATTGATGTCACAATATGAGGAAGAGGAAGGCATACCACTTCACCTGTAGAAAAATTACCCAATCGCTCAACCATCTTGCACCCAAAAAATGCTTTTGAACATTTAAGTGAATGATAGTAAACACTAATTACATTTCGGCATCAGCATAGCCAGTTAGCCACGTGCTTTTCCTGTATGAAGAATCTCCTAATGAAAATAAAGGAGCATGTACAATATTCTAGAGGAAAATACAGAACTTTTAAAAATGAAATAACTGCCAGTATAACAAAATGCAATAACCAATTTTAAATGAACAAAGAAATAGATAAACATTAAAATAAAGATAAAGAGAGATAAATAAGATTGATTAACCACAATTCCATTTACCTGATATGTTGTAGATTGTCAAAGTATCAACTTGTAAAACACAAAGAACAGATTCTGATGTGGCACCCAACCGACACCAGCATGCCTAAAATTACAATTGAAGCATCATTAGAATCCATATATGTGAAGATCCTGAGAGTTGGTAGATTAAATGATCACAAAACTGCATGGATGTTAAATGGGGCGGGCAATACAGACAAATATAACTAATATGCCAATATAAACTTATAAAGCAAAAAAGTCAATAAAGAAAAAGGAATAGCAAAAAGAAAAGAAAGAAACAACAACATAGCTCGCATGGTTTACAACTAAGGCAGGTAAAGGTGAACCCAAGAGCTCATAAGCCCTCCCTCCCTCTCTCTCTCTCTAGCTACATCCTACATGAATCTTGTTCCACCAGTCCACTCTGGCCAGCACCATTTCCATAGTTAAACTAAGGAGCCTCAAATCATTTCTCACTACTTCAACACATGTGATCACCAAATACACAACCTAAAACAGTCCAATAACAGACTGAGTGCTAGAGGATTTACAAGCCATATAAATAATTCTCTAAAAGAAAATAGTGTAGGCCATACAGCATATCTGCACAAAATTGTCCCAAGCAAGCACGTAATCCAAAAGGAAAAACAAAGAACTAAAATGTAAGAGCAAAAGACCCCCCCTCTTCCTACTGTTGTTCATTCATCTTTATTTACAAGGCATTTTTTAAAAAGATAGTAGGAATCTCCTGAATTAAAAAATATGAAAGAAAGTAGTTTCTTGGAGAGAGAAGGAAGAGAGAAGGAGAAGAAGAGAAGAAGAGAAGTTGAAAGAAAAGA